AAATAAATAAATAAATAAATAAATAAATAAATAAATAAATAAGTAAATAAATAAAACCAGCTATCAAAACTAATATGCGATACAGCCATTCACGTGTTATCCTTTAATCCTGACTTCCTTCTTTTATCCCTTTTTCTGCCTGGTTGTTATCGTTCCCTACACTAAACTTTCTGAACGACATGTGATTATTTCGAATGCGTTTCCATTCTTTGATCCTAAAATTAACTCAACATTATAGTGCTCGCACAAACAGGTCGACACAATACCCGTCCTAAAATACACTACACCATACCGGAACGACTCGAAAAAATTCACTTAACCATTTCCGTTGACTTTAGTCCTTACTGAGAATTTAGGTCAACGCCTGGACAGTTTTTCTGGTTTAATGGAAGCCCCGGAACTAAAATCCTTTAGTACAAGGACTCATTGTTTAATGAGTCAGTGATTAGATTCAATTCATTCAAACGCTCAACCAATGTTTCATGTAGTCATGACTAGTGAAGTTCGTAATGGTAGGGCCACCGCCGCGGGCTTAAAAAAGTGCTGAATTTGAAAATGAAGAAAACTAAAAGAATTTAGAGAAATAAGGAAAGTATTAAAGCAAAGCATGGCCAACAACTAACCCTATCTATATACGACTTCGAGTTCGTGAGGGAATCGATTTGTTTCTGACGTGAGTCACTGAGCGCTAGTATGGACGTTACCAAGAGATTTCGATCTTTAAAAGCGATCGCAAGTACCTGTAGTGTTATTCCAGCTGGCTTCATAATCTCAGCCGGAAACAATTTCCCAGAATCGCTTTCGGTCGTTGCAGCCATATTTAGTCAATTATGATTTGTGGCAAGACGCCGCATGGTTGGCTGGTTGGCTGTTAGCTTCTCTTTTTTCCATTTTTCATCTTCTTCTAACGCAATACTCCATCGAGTTATTCGGCAATCAACTCTTACTCCTACGATGAGAGCCGGGTGTTCGAGGAAGGGTTTTTCTCAATATCAATCTGTCAAATACATTATGTTCGTTCCGCAACTCTATCAAAACAACCTAAGAAAAACACTGAACCGCTGAACAAACACATATAAAGCTACGCCGAATTAATCACAAAATATATTCAACATGCTTTCTTTGCATTTCGCTAATGAGCTGCATGATTTGAACTTGTTGATTTGCGAGGGTAGAACGTGCCTAACAGAACAGACTTGTGGCCTTTGTTCGTTGAAAACCGAGATGTCATCAGCTTTGATAGCCCATTACCATCTATAATTTTCACCAGGGTGTCTTCAAATTCTATACAAAGCTTTCTTCACGCTAAGTTATTATTATTTTCTATTCAGACTGGTTTTTCTGGGCCAACATCACGGTCAGGTTCTGAAATTGATTCTGCTAGCTTAAAAAGGTCTTTTTGTCATCATTAGTACACCTGCCTCATTTGGGCAATCCATCCATACACAATTTCTATTCTTCGTGACTACAACAGAGCTGCCAATCCAATGGTTTGGGAACTTTTGTTCGTAATCTTACATTTCCAAATTAATCATCTGCCAACAGAAGTTAGACTCAAGAGCGACTGGTAAGTCGATAAAGTTTTTAGTTTTTATCACTTACCAAAAACTAAATATAAAATGAACAACATTTTAAAAAACTGAATTGCGAAAGATTAGTCACAATAGCCAAAAGGTTGTTGGATTTTATGAATGTTTTGTAAATTGAACGGGCAACAGAGGTATATATATAGAGAGAGAGGGAGAGAGAGAGAGAGAGAGAGAGAGAGAATCTTGTTATCAATAGTCGAACGGCTTATCAATATAATAATGTAAACTAAAGATATAAGAACATGCGTAATAGGTAAATTACGCGCCTTGTATGAAACGACTGAAGAAGAGGGCCAATTGGTCGCGTAAAAAATGAGCCAGCAACAAGAAACCGTGGACAGCTGTTTCGGCCTGCATTAATCCTCCTCAGCACGGTGTACTACTTTTTTGTGGGATTCTACCAGCTCACTAGATACACCGTGCTGACGAGGCCCAATACAGGCCGAAACAGCTGTCCACGGTTTCTAGTTGAGCTGGCTCATTTTTTACGCGACTTGAAGTTGTGAAAGGCCCATTGGTCCTCTTCTTCAGTCGTTTCATACAAAGCTCGTAATTTACCTATTACGCATGTTCTTATATGATTTGCGAGCCCATCCCACACGGCTTACCGCTTCATCCTTCAATATATGTAATAGAGTTAGGATTTCTTTTTAGCAATCGCTGTCCAAAGAAACTAAAGCCTGTAAATTGTCGTTCTATTTTTTTGCAAGAGAAGCAGAAAACCAGAGTCGAAACTTGGGAAGGATTTGGCTAACTTGTGCATTTTTCAAACATGGAAAATAGAAATGAGAAAACGAAGAAAGGAAAATCTTCAAAAACTCAAATCGATTTACATCGATATTTTAGATCTTTGTTTAGATGAAAATTSACATCCTCTTGGCAACTATCTTTTATCCAATTGAAAATTCCTCATTTAGAATCTTTTTTCTTTTTCTTTTTCTAATTGAGCGGCCGGTAACATTTATCATATTTGCAAAACGAATGTTTACGATTACTTTATTGTTTCCCCGGAGCCCGACTAGGAATGTCAGTGTGCTTGACCATTGCACCAGAATTGTATTGAAAAATTGTTATTCGTGCAGAAAGGTTGACCAAAAAAAGTATCGTATCTCTTGATTTTATTCAAATTGTGGGTGAACTTCTAGATCAAATTCTAATTTATATTTCCGTGATATGTTGTATAAACGGGACCTAAACAAACAAACGCAATGTGAATTTTTCTCGACGAAACACAACAAAGCATGTTTTTAATGACTATCCAAGCAACAAAAATACCTTAATACAGACTGCGTGCGTTTTGTTTAACAAGGACACGGCATAAGGAAAGATTTTAACCAATCTTAAACTTCCTGTTCACTAATCAAACACTCGCCACCTCACCTACGTACATGCAGCACTTGACCTTAGTTTTAGAAGACTATACCTCATAATCAACAACGCGATAGCGGCTTTAAAATATATATTGAACGATCGAATATGTCTATGTTACGTGAGCCCTTGTTAGGGAGAGTTGAAGGATTCCTTATCCCGATAAATAGGAGGAAAAAATATCCCTTGTCATAATAAAAGTGGATAACATCTTCTTCCCACTATACTTATTATCTCTTTTCTATGTCGATCTTTTTTATTCGTAGAACTATATTTTTATGAGTCATTCCTTATTTACAAAATTATTATTTTCCGAGTTATTCTTTATTACTAGGACTGTGCGGTGAATTATTATTCCCTAAAACAAATTATTTTCGTTTCAACTATATTACCAATAAAAATTGTAAACTAGGCCCTATTTCCCCCCCCCCCCCCCCCCCATTTATTTGTAGGAGTAGTGCTATTTTGGTTTTTCGAGAAATGGCATAATTTAAGACTGGTTGAAAAACGAACCGCGAGCGGGCCTGACTATTTGCTAAGTATCTATAAAGTATTCACGTTTTGTGAGTATACGAGGGCACTTAATTTATTCACTTGAAGTGTTACAAGGCTTTAATCAGGATTTATTCTTGCCCCCTATCTGTAAGATATTATATAACCTTTCTTTTACAAGTAGTATTGTTAAAAGTTTCTTTTATATATTGAACAAATTGCTAAATCTTTTAAGTCATGATCACGAAACCTACTCAAGTACGTCAGTACGTTTAGAAATCAGTTGTCGACTTAATTTGTCAATTCGTTTAAACACTTTGGACGTTACTCAAAATTAGGAGAGCTTCAAGTGACTTTTTTTTTCTCTTTTTCAAGAACTAAATCCCCATAAAATTAAAACATTAACTTCGAAAAAGCGAATCTTGAAACGCTTTCAACATTGTTTAGCTGTATTTATTTGGCGAAATAAATTAAGTCTCAAATCACTTAATTAGTACGTATTTCCGAATTTAAGCATGAATATTTTGAAATGAAATTTGTTTTTCTCATCACTGGTGTTTTTATTATTATATTTTTCATTTCTATTACCGAATTTAATTCAAGATGGCCAAGGCGGAAAGCTTGACAATTAACTATTTGAATGCCACATAAACAACAAGTAAAACTATAATAACAATAATAATATTGATAATAATATTTAATATTTATAAAGCGCGACTTTAACATGTGAATATGATCAAAATTATATACTTAGACAAACCGATAGCTATGTAAATATTATAGCTAAAATATCAAAATTTTGAACATTAATTTTCATTACTATGCAGAAGTGTACTGTTTTCCCCCCGTGATAATTACAAATAGCGGTAACTAGGCTAGTTGGGACTGCATTGGTGTGTCGAATGTCCAGTGAATCAAGAATTGAAATTTATAGCACCTTGAGAGAAAAGCAGACGCCGAGGTTTTAGGCGGACAGAAGCTCGGGTCCCAAAATTTCCTTCCTATATTTACTGTACAACAAACCTCTATTTAGCGGACACCTCTATTAGAGCGTATGCAGTAAAACCATGAAATAAAAATAAAGTTGATACTGACAAATAGCACTATTTAGTGACTAATAGCTGCTATCACTCAACCAGAACATTTATTACACAAAAGACACAAATGGTCTCTTGTGTATTTGTCTTTGTATGATGAATGTTCTGGTTGAGTGCTAGCAACTATTAGTCACTAAATAGCTACTATTTGTCAGTATCAACTTTGCTTTTATTTCATGGTTTTACTGCATGCGCTCTACTTCTATTTTCATAAACATGCGGACTCCTGCTGCACACCGTAATTTGGTTTTTCGCTGCCTTCAATCGAACCTGTCGGTACCTTTCATATTTTTGGCATGTTTATGAAAACTGCAATAACGGACGTGGACTGCCTACAATGCAAGCCCGCCACATCGTAATTATATAATTTCTATAGTTAAGAACCTTAATTTATACGGACACGATCATCATGACTGCTCACTTAGTATTGGCTCTGCGTTCGGRTTCAATACGACAACAATACCATCTGTAACAAATTTGCTCCAAGGTTTTCACTACGAATCCCCTTCTTCGCTAATTTCAGTTAAATTAAACGATTGAAGGTTAACTAGTAACCGAGATCATTGGTCATTATAAAATTGAACATTTGAAGTCCTATTATTTACTGTAAAACAAGCCTTTGGTAAGCGACCAAGGTCCCAAGGGCGTCCGCTTAATAGAGGTACCAAAGTGAACGCCCAAAACGCATATCAATACAGTTCCAAACGTTTTCCTGGCTTTCTTTAAAATTTCTCATGCTACTAAAAATGGGTAGTTAGATTGTTTTGAAATAAAACTGGTTTCGTTTCTGATTACCAATTGAAGCTAGGCGTGCATCAGATTAAACTCTTATTGTGTTCTGACCAGCTGGATTAGCAAACTAAACTAATAGATTCATAAACCAATCATCGACTTTAAATGCTGATTAGAAGTGGTTGATGTATGGAAAAAAGCTGTAAGTGCTATTGAAACTTGAATTGAACTGACTAATCTGAAAAGATATATTAATTGGAGTTTTAAAATTTTAACAGGAGAAATTAGAAGCTATTGGTCGTGACCTGGTCCTACTAACTCTCTTTACAGTGTATCTTACTGGGGAAAGAAATTAAAGACCGTTTGAGCCGTCAATTCTTGTCTGAAACCAAAACGAGAAAACTGACAAGATGGTGGCTCTTCCACCAGCTCTAATTTGCCTTGTGGTTTTCAACATTCTTATTTCTGTGCTTGGGACATTTGGCAATGCATTAGTTCTTTTGGCTGTCGTCAAAAACCGTTCTCTACAAACTGTTCCAGACTTGTTTATATTCAGCATGGCAGTAGCAGACTTGATCGTTACTGGTGTACAACAACCAATGTTGACGTGCCGTGTATATCGTATCAACAGCCCTAACCTTACCTTCAATTCCATTCTCGAAACTATAGGATTTTTGGCCATTCTGGCGTCGATCACAAGTATGTTTATGGTGACGATTGATCGTTTTGTGGCAATCCAACGTCCATTCGTGTACATCAGACTTGCAACAAGTAAACGCGCTGTACAGGTCATCTCTACTTTGTGGATTCTATGCCCGACCTTCACAGTCTCAAGTCACTTCATACAAGGACAAGAGAAGTACTACGCTGTGTGGACATATATGACTATACTCTTGTTATCCACGGTTATCATATATGTATATCTTTTTTATACTGCAAGGAAACAGCAAAACAAAATCATAATGGCGAACACTCTTGGGACAAGTGTGCGAAGTAACGACCACACACAGAAAGGCATCCCATTGCGTACAAGGCAAAGGAACGAACGAAAACCCGCAAAAACTATTGCAATTGTCGTTGGTGTGTTTATTGTGTTTTGGACGCCATTTTTGGCGTACGTCATCACCAATGCAGACATCCTTGAAAAAGAGGAACTAGATAAAATGATATGGTTTTATTGGTTTTTATCCTTGTCCTTATGCAACAGTACCCTCAATCCATATATCTATTGTGTCAGGAACAGTAGATACCGACTGGCATTTGCAAAACTTTTGCATTTGAAGCGCGTAATACAACTGGACTCTAGCCAGGTACAGTCATATGCAAGACCAACTAATGCCAACGTAATTGAACAACAAGAGGGAGAGTTACAAAAACGACGTGGGGTAAAGGGGACAGTCGAAGTCATTGAAATACAATGAAACACCGCTGACTCTATCCAAGCTGTTTGTTGCTAAATATGATGTTGAATAGCCGTCAATTCTTTCCACACTTAGCTTCATCACTCCTATAACGAAGGGATGTAAAAGAGCTATTGAGGACGTAAAATAATCCTAGAAGTGACCACCCTCAGTGCCCGGACTTCATCATTACTAACCAATATCGGAGGGAAGTAAAATAACCACAGGACGTGAAGAATTCCTGACAGCGACCACCCTCAGTGCCTGGACTTCATCATTACTAACCAATATCGGAGGGAAGAGTGAAAGAACCACAGGAGGTGACGAAATCCTGACAGCGACCATCCTCAGTGCCTGGACTTTATCATTACTAACCAATATCGGAGGGAAGAGTAAAAGAACTACAGGAGGTGAAGAAATCCTGGCAGCGACCACCCTCAGTGCCTGGACTTCATCATTACTAACCAATATCAGAGGGAAGTAAAAGAACCACAGGACGTAAAGAAATCCTGACAGCGACCACCTTCAGTGCCTGGACTTCATCATTACTAACCAATATCGGAGGGAAGAGTGAAAGAACCACAGAAGGTGAAGAAATCCTGACAGCGACCACCCTCAGTGCCTGGACTTCATCATTACTAACCAATATCGGAGGGAAGAGTGAAAGAACCACAG